AACGGCACCAACCTCCTTCCCCCTCCGTATGCATGGTGTACGCAACGGCACGAACACCCTCCCGCCTTCGTGCGTAAGTGCCTTATGGACTGCTCCTTACTGCAGTGCATATTCTATAGTTACGCTGACGAATGACAGAAATGCAGACATAACAAAGCAGAGTACATTTATTCTTTGCTGAATACATGTACAGTTGTAATACATATGCCATGTTCATAACTGTTGTGTTAAATAGTAATTTGGCATGGACAAGGACGGGAAAATCTGCGACGAGGAGTAAAGGGTCTGGGATATAAATTTCAGTTTAGAACACATTTTGATAAATATTTTTTATTCTATAAAATTCATCAAAACAAGCTAACATCCCTGTTCAATCTATGTTAAAAGTGAACAATTCCTAAATTTAAAACTATTTATTCTTTTAACGATGAGAAATGAGGGTACTGTTGCTGGGAACCCATGCCAGGGGAATTTTATGTTTGAATTGTGACCCAAAAAGTTGCTAGCTCAATATATCTTCAGAACGTCACTCAATTGCCCACTGTGACGTCAACTGAAACACCTACCAGAGGAAACAATGAGAAAGTTAAGTATCTTAAAGTCGGGACGATTTGTAGTGTTAGATCAAGAAAACATTGGCGCATTGATGCTTCATGTTGGAACAAATTCACACACTTTTATGAATGTGAAAGTTACACTTCAATAGATTTGGTTTAAAAACAAAATTAAAAATCAATATAATGCGAATAGTAAAACGAACGCGAAGGTTCATTACTACCTATGGACTACTTGAAGATATCATTCTGAGAGTCGTCTAACAGTAGAATATGAACGTCTGATATAACGCATTCTGATCCCTCTATTCCAGGTGAAATGAATGCAGAGACCTATGCCAAGATGAACATGCCTCGCTGTGGCATGCCAGATAACGTGGGTCATGCCCTGGACACCAGGCGCAAGAAGAGGTACTCCCTCGGCAGCAAATGGTCAAGGACTGACTTGACCTATCGAATCGACAACACGACTCCTGACATTCCTAGTCGGACAGACGTGGATGCAACTATGGCGAGAGCATTCAAGGTATTCCGAGCTGATCTTTCTGTAATTAAAAAATCAGAACCAAGCAAATTACAGATTGAGGTTACGGCTTCACCACTTGTGCAATATCTGATGCCAACGGTTACATCAATGGACGACTTCAGAGTACTTCACATCGCAAAGAAAACTCTCTGAAAAAGAAATTAAGTTGCTTCACGAATAAAAGCCTGGATCCGCCAAGAAACAAAAGTCCGTAAGGCTTTTAAAACTCCATCACAATGGATGCTGAAAAGACGGGCTTATGAAAAGTACTCGTATTCCAAAACAGTGTCACAACATTCAGGTCAAAGAATCCATGGTTCACTGTAATTGGGCCTATTGGACGTATTTTCCTTTTCTTCACAAGAGTGTGACGGCAGAAATTTCTTGAAACAAAGTCCGAACACGTTTGTATTCTACATCCGTAATTTCACAGTAAAATTTTTATTCTGTATTCAGGTCTGGTCAGATGTCACACCGCTAACTTTCACACGAGTTTTCGGCAATACACCCGCCGACATCATCATCTTCTTTGCACCAAGCAATGTGGACCACGGTGACGGTCCGCAGGGGGCCTTTGACGGACCGAATGGGGTTCTTGCACACGCTTTCTTCCCGGAGATCGGAGACGCTCATTTTGATGAAGCTGAAACTTGGACTATTGGATCATTTCAGGGTGAGATCAATTATATAATTAACCGAATTGCTGTCTTATGCAGAAAAATATTCGATAAAAATAACTCGTAGCCACAGCGCTTGCACGCTAGCTAGGAGCTCCGGGTTTGTACCTCCATACAATGGAGAACGAACTCTCTTTAATTCTACAAATACTCTGTAGGTTGGATTGTGCCAGATTAGCTTTTTTATTGGAGCCCTCATATCGACAGGGTGGTCAAGTAAAAGACGCTAAATGAATAATCATCGTGCAATTAACACGCGAGTACAAACCCTGGTTGAGGACGAACTTCCGTGTTGTACGGACACTTTGCAGCTTGGATTGTGTCGAGTCAAGTCTATTTTATTGAAACTCTATTTTATTGAATACACTATCAATAATAATCAATAACCACTGTACAATTAATGCGCGAGTACGAAGCAGTAGCAACCATCCTCGTAATCACAGCGGTTTATGCTTTTACCGAGCCAGGGCTACCGTGTTCCATGTGTGCATGCAACGTGTGTATACATGTGCAACGTAATTTACAACGAGAAGTCAACTGTTGCAATTAATAATTGAGTTGGCAAATCATCAAATACCGGATACACCAAGACCCAGAGAGGTACTTTTTTTGTTGAACGTGAATGAAACGAGAGTGTAGCACTGATGGGAAACATGCCGAATATTAAGTGAAGATGATGTCCATCAATTCCTTGCGCGTCAGATGACGAAACCGTTTCTGGTTCTTCGTTATTAACATTTTCCTGGTCATTCCCTCGTCACAAACATATTTCTGATTAGGAGTCGCCTGAACGCGTCCGTAGGCGCTGCATTTAATCTAAATATATACTCGGTGATATACTCGGGTAATTACGATGACAGTAAATTTTTAGTTTGATATTGGACTTTCCTATTGGTTTGTAGAGGGAATGTCCAATTTCGAGAAAAATCAGACAATGCCTGTACAAACCTATGTGAATGTCTAATGTCCAATATCAAACTTACTTTACCGTCGTGTAACATAGACACACATTATTTTTACGCACTGGACTCTTTTAGTGAGATCCAGTATGAATGGGTTCAGCCAACCAGGAAACAGCTGTAGGGATGTATGGTATAATATGATCTAGTTAGATTGAATACACCACTGTGTGACATCAGCTCATCGTTGAGTTAGAATTTTAGAAACACATATCTGAGAAAAAAATAATTAACTCTATCCACCCTCTAATAATGTTACTGGCCTTTTGTATTTGAGAATTTCTCTCAAATATTATTTTGTAAACGTTTCTTTCGGAAAAAGTTAACCCCAAACGCCCTTTTAATGTTTTCTGTCGTTTTGTTTACAGGAATCAACTTATTCCAGGTGGCAGCTCATGAATTTGGTCACAGCTTGGGACTGGGCCACTCTAATGTCCAGGGAGCTTTGATGGAAGCATTTTATGCAGGTTACGTTCCAAACTTCCAGCTTCATCCGGATGACATTGCTGGCATCCAAGCCCATTATGGTAAGCTGTGTTTGATATTATTGTTTTCTGTTGTAAGCCACCCATCAAAAGGCAAAAATGACAACTGAAGGTACACATGTAGATGCTACATGGAGAGTCAAATAGGAAACCATAGAGAAGGAAAACGACATTGCTTTTGCATCAAACTGCATCAAACTCGATAATTTCTCTACAGTAACTCGCCGAAATAAGTCTTGATATTCGATTTACTAAAAAACGTTTCTTGGGCTTTTGTGCAGGGGCTGGCTCTGGCAGACCGGAAGTGACCATGGCTCCCAACCCACCTGCCCCGGACATTCCTTGCACAGGCAGAGTAGACGCTGTCACGACAACACAAGACCGCTCAACGTACATTTTTGAAGGTAGGGGAAATGAATACACTCGACGGCGCTTTGGGGTGATATTCTCCACTGAATCAATAGATCTATGCCGAAGGAATCGATGTTTAACCATAATGGGTGTCATCAAAGTCGGTTTTTAGGCCCTGCAAATTGTCAGGACCATTCATAAAACAGAGACATGAACGTCTTTGTTGAGTATTACGTCTTTAAAGAAGACGCCATTGAAAGGGAAAAATGTCTGTGCTTTTGATTCTCGTATCTGCGACAGGAAGTAACGTTTGGAAATTCGAAAGTGGTGCATCCCGGATTTCCTCTGGCTTTCCTAAGACTATCGCCTCAACCTTTGCTGGCCTACCAAACGATATCGACACGGCGGTTTACTATCCGGCAAATGGAAGGACGTACTTTTTCAAGGTTTGGAATCAAAAAGTGGATGAAATATTTTGTACCTCGACATTTTACTCATCACAAGTACATTTTGTAAATAAATTTCTATTTGGAGGATATGTAGATTAGACCCAAGAGCACCAAATCTCAGCCTTTTTCTCTCTGTTTCTAAATGTACAAATACTGCACGACCAAACAGCAGGTTATTAACTTACGTTTATTTCTTTTATTGTTTCTTTGATGAACATTGGAAATAATATACTCTGATGAGTTCAAACATTTTGGAACCGACGTGAATGAGCTTGATTCTGCACACACTGCCCTCAGCCGGCCCTCAGTAATGCTATTCTTGCAACAATAACATTAACCACAGTTTCAAGCATGCATGACAAGCCCAACTCAAGATCCAAATACTGTTTTAGCGCGATTCAAAATTTTTCTGTTCGCAGGGAAATCAGTACTGGCGATTTAATAATGAAGTAATGGATGCGAACTATCCAAGACCCATCCGTGGTAACTGGGGCACCCTACCAAACGATCTTGATGCTGCGTTCATATGGAGTGGAAACAATAATTTATACTTTGTCAAAGGTGAGTATAGCCCTCAAAGAGCCAGGTTATATGGGCCCATCTCACAGCTGGAGGCGAATTCCACCTCCAAGAACCCGGGAAACTTGCCATAATACATTTTGGCAATTTGGGCAGTGCTGTCAATTTCCTGAAGGATTTACAGCAACAGCGCCCTTGGTTGCCCAGAAAAGCATAAACAATTTTAGACACCGAAACAAACTTTTAAATACACCTCTTAACCCGAAACGGACGTCAAATAGTTTTCATACATTTCAGAAGAGTAAAAGTTGCACAAAAAGCACATTAAGAAAAATTCATAGCATGATCCGCTTTTACCTCTCTTAAGAGTTTGTCTGCTTTATGTCACGCGCAGACAGTAGCTTTTGACACATTTGTGTCATTTCAAGCTCTATTATATAGTGTTTTCACACACTCACAATTAGCTTTTGCCTAAGTTTAGACACAATTAATTCTCACGTATTTTGCACTTTACACTAGTCAAAGTAACAGGCTAGGCTATTTTCAAGATGTATTTTTGCGTTAGGGAGATGTCATAGCTAGGCTATGTCTCGTTCCGCTCGCTCTGATCGCAAAATGAGGAGTCGTCTTTGTTTAAAATCTCTAGGAAACTGAGCACAATTAATACAATTGTTCATGACAAAACTAAGTTTCATTAAGCATTTTATTTTTTCAGCAGCATTGATTTTGTGCCCTGGGTCAGAATATGTGATGAACCGCAACTCCTAAGAACACTTCCAACTTAGTCATTTTCCCCCCAAATCTTTCTCCAAGTCGATCCCACTTTCAGTTACACATTTGACCCGTACATCCCACCCACACAGACCCCCAACTCAAACCATTTGTGTCCCGCCAAACCACACACCGAAAGCCTGTGTTCGGTCACGGCACAACGAGGTTAATTACCTCCGCTCACCCACAGTTTTACCCCATAAGAATTACGTGTAGATTTCCTACCCATCCAGAGACTAAGTGTTGTACACAACTCAATGTACCGAGAAAGGCTCACCCTTTTCTTTCCCTCGTTGACCAAGTTCCCCCGTAGCTCACCCACGAGCAGCCTCCTCCCTCCCGCTCCCAAACTTATCGGACTTTATCGCTCTCCAGAAACTTGTCAGCGAAGACCAAGTGTGCACAAAATCCCCATAGATTTTTCTTCCATAGACTTTCTACATGTATGAATTAACCCGGTGAGTGGGACAGTGCAAACTGCAACAGCATCCAAAAAATGAGTTATATTAACCCCACAAAATATTAATTGCTGGTTCATTTTCACCCCCAAAATAATGAGCAAAGACTATAACCACTTTTTGGTTGAAAACAAACTAGATATTAATTTCTTTCAACAAAATTGTGTTGACACAACCAATAAGTCTAGATGCATGTAGTTGCAGTTTTCCCTCCCCCTTGGATTACATTCAAATTAGACAATTTCAAAGTATACTTCGGGGAATTTTGACAAAATGAGAAATTTCTAATTCAATATGTGCCCTTGTTGATCTGTTTCAATGCTATGGCTGCTGCACAACTCCTGATGACAAATTTATGACCATTCCTTCTGGATTTAACTGACTTTTCTTCAATTACTTTTACCCTCAAAGGCAATCAATATTACCGTTTTAATGGTGGTGTTGACCAAGGCTACCCTCGCTCCCTCAGTGTTTGGAACATCCCAGGTAATGACGTTGCTGCTGCTGTTCAGTGGATCAACAGACGTACGTATTTCTTCAACTCTAATGGAGGCTACTTCAGATACAATGATGGGAATTTGCAGGCCGATAGCGGGTACCCGCGAGATGTAGCCTCTGCATGGCAGGGTTGCACAAACACTCTTGCGGCGGCTACTCCCACTGCTGGTAGCGGTGTAAATGGTCTTGTACCCAGTCTCCTCGCATTACTGCTGCCCATTGCCTCGGGAGCCGTGCTTTTTAAATCATTCTCGTTTCCGATTCATCTCCAATTTTAACGCCAGACGGCAAGGTAGGAATTGGTAGGAAAACTTTGTTTTGCCCCTCCCACATTATCTGATGACGTACGCGAACTTAAGGTGATGTATATTTAAGCCGTGCAGTGAATTAGATATATTGGCCAGTAATGTTATTACATCTATTGATATTCAGAGACTTAAACCTGTTATTCGTGTTTAGGTTGTGCCAATATTTAGTGTGTTTCGTTTGTTGATGTACTGCTTAGATTGGGATAGGTTAGTATTTAGAAATAAGTAGAAATGATAATTTGTCGTCTATTTAAATTGAAGTTACACTATTTTAAAAGAAGAAATCAATCATGTTTCATCGACTTCCATTTTAATTTCAGTTGGTTGCAATACATGCATTCGTAAGGTCAGTTTATCTTAATGTTTAATCTAAAATTAATCAATCAAAATTTAGATTTGGGATTTTGAAATTATTTGATCAAATTTCAGATTATTTTCTAGTTGGTGCAAACTGCCTACTTTGAGTCTGGCACTGACTAATTGTTGATTGATTGGCGCCAATCCCTAGTGTAGTTGCTGCAGACACGCTAAATCTCCCTAAATTTCACAAAATGATTAACGGTCAGTGGTTTTGTGGATCATTTCTTTCTGCTCATGGTGAGATTGCACACTGAAGTGTTTCCATAATAAAACCTCCAATAGCTGAACACGACTGCGAGGGGTTCGTGCTCCATGTTGGTATTATTGTTCCTCTCTTTCACAGAGTGACTTAGATAAACGCAGTAGAGCGATTGTGCCCGCTAAGTCACGTGACCTGTAGTGGGTATTAAATATCAACAAACACGGCGTCCACTAATTGCAAAGTGTTACATAAATATCATTTACCAAAAATAAAGGTGACGGTAGGTACTGTACTCAGACTACTGATGAGCTGGGCACTATATTCGCCCGTCGCCAGAACAGGGCGCTTGGAAGCTTAGATAGATAGATTTGAGTGAGGTGTTAAGTCCTTTAAGGTCCATCTGGCGACAAACCTTTCAAGGATTTTGGCAAAATGGTCCGTGGGAGCGATTGGCCTTATTTTATCCACCACTGCCGGAGATGATTTTGGAACTGGAATGATGATGGTCCTTTTCCACAGGTCAGGAACCACTCCACTGTTAAGGGACGTGTTAAATATATGGATCAACGGGGTGCTGAGTTCCTATGCAAACTCTCTGATGATGCGAGTGGGCACATTGTCCGGTCCTCCTTATTTGCCAACTTTAACACGTTCAGTTGGTGTATACCTCCCAAGGTTGGATGTTAGGTGGGGCTGCTTGCGATGGCAGGTAAGCTGGTAGTTGAGCAGCATCAAGTGGTTGAAGATCATCAGTGACAGCCACAAGGAGCTTGTTGATGTGGTTAGCTACTTCGTCTGGGCTTGCTAGCTCTTGACCTGGCACGTTAATAATTGTTTCTGTTTGACGGCCATGGATGATAGCTTTTATTCCTCTGTACCACCCAGCTGGATTGGAGGCCTTATGTGTCTGTATTCTGAAACCATAGTGTTCCTTTTTAGCAAGACACATGGCTTGAATGATTTTATTACTCATTTGTTTCCACGTTCTATGTTACTTATGATGAAAGGCATTTTGTCGCTTCCTAATCAATGATTTAACGGAAGGAGTCATCCATAGTTTGTCCAGCGAGTGCAATTTGATCGAGTATTAAAATTGGGAGGTAGTAGTAGTAGTAGATTTTTGGAAGTGAGATGGGTCAATTTTGGCAGGATATTTCTCTTTTAGGTCTGGTAATATTTCAGTTTCTATAAATTGATATATGCTAGCAAATATTTTCCACAGGCCTTTTTCCAAGTTGAATTTTTAAGAAGTAACTGATGAACAAAAAATCTTACAAATTCTACAGTTTTTGGCATGATATTTTTCCTATCCAAGGGTTCTGGAAGCGCGCCATCAGGGGCCAACTTTCAGGCTGTATTTGGAGTGAATGCTCAGACATGTAAACGCACAGACCACCAGATCGTATTCGTACTAAAATCAAAACTGTGGGCAAATTCATCCCTCGGTATTGGGGATTTACGCTGAAAAATTCCAGCCAAAAGTTCCATGAAGCCATATTTCAATTGTGAAAAAATCCTGTATTTACTTATTCTAGACAATGTGAGTAACAAGCATTGCGCACTGAGCGCGCTGCCATCCATCGTGTTGCCCATACTTTTCAAATTTTTTACGGTTATGTACGAAAAACTGGGGGTCTATGAGTTTATAAATCTGCGAGCAAACGCAAAAGGCTTTTTCTGAACCAAACAGCGCTCTCCTAGCCCTAGCCATTTGTCTGCCATTTATAGATGGAGCTAATGGGACCACAATGGGAAAAAGTTTTCTGAACTTTTCTCTGTTATTTCCGCTTAACTCAATAACTGTTTCATTTTTTCTGTCTGTTTCCAACTTTGTCTGTATCTACATGTCTCTTTAATGTGGAAAATTGAATCAATCCAATTAAATAATGTTGTGGGGTTTATCCGTTCACAGAAAACCCCAAACTACTCTCAGCCGATTATATATATAAAAAGACACTTATAAGTGTGCCTACTGTATTGCGTCATACGATAATATATTAGCACCACAGTTAGAGGATGGCCATTTAGCTGCACAGGTCTCACTTATAAGTAGCGGTGGGTAGTCGGATCGGTTGAGCTAAGGGGCAGTTCGATCCACGTCTTAGTCAAACAGGTATGGCGAAGAAACTAGACACAGGAGTTGCCCTGATTATGTCAACGATGAAACAGGACAACACGCATGGGAGATGGTTTTGGCTTTGACCGGCAGAGGTTTTACGGGTCAGTTAGTATGATAAAGCGGCGATTCCTTCCGTCGGCTAGGAGGCGTTGTTCTCGCCAAAATCAGGAAAGGAATGCTACGTTACAGACTGGACCCAACCTACCACTTAAGCCTAGGTGAATCCCTCCCACATTGTTTAAACTTTTTTGGGGGGGTTGAATTTGAAGGGCCATACCGTACCTGACACAGGTTAAACCACTTGGGGCAAAGCCATCATGAAGGCTAGACTTTCCCACATAAAATAAAACACTGGGATACAAGCAGGACTATTTTGGGGGAGTGGGTATATGACAATACGAAATAGGGTCATGGCTGAAAAGAAGTATTCAGCTTTCTCGTTGCCATGTACATCATAATTGTTGTCACAGTTGTGTTGACTGTTACGGAAATAATTGGCCACGGTTTCGAGAAAATAATATGATTTGGCCTCATTGTCCACTGAATAACAAGCAAACAGATGTTTTGGTAGGGTGTTCTATAGCCGCCAAAATTGTGTCGCGTTGTCCCGACGCTACGACACGACGCCACGATACGACGCTGCGACGGCTCTGTCGCGTCATGCCGTAGCGTCATGGCGTCGCCTCCTTTCTCATTACTTTTAGGCTGCGTATAATGCATTACATCGTGCCGTAGTAGCGTCGCGTCGTGGCGTCGACCTGTTGCGTCGTGCCATCACGTCGTGCCGTCGCATCGTGCCCTCGCAGTCGCCTCATTACTGGTGGAAATGGGCTCGCCCTTATACCAATGGATACCATTTTTCATGATCAAATCTTGTAGGAATGCAACCTATGGGTGCATTCCATCAAATCGCTGGATTTCTGCGCGTGAGCTCATTAATATTTTGTGATTCCAAGAAGCTTTTGCTATAAGACATGCCATAGGGCCTAATCAGGAAGAATCATAGAAATATTTTTTACAAATCCCGAATTTGGGACCAGTTAGTTTTCAGTTCCAGGGTGTTTCTTCCACAAAAGCCCGAAATTGCAGGCCTATTTCGGGTAGAGGAGGGCGGCTACATTCAGAGCTGAGCGCATAATTTTAGTACAATTTGAGGGGTTTCTTCAGGGAAAGGGGAATAACGAAATTCACGTGGCTAACTCCCATAAAATTGAAACGAAAAGTGATCTTCTGGCCATAATCTTGAATTTCTATTGAAAAAACGGAGGACAACCTCTTGACAAGAGTCAACAGGCGGCGCTATTTTGGTCTGATTTTGCACTGTTTTCTATGGGCGCGTGTTTGGTGTAGTAAAACTTCCTTACGCATGCCACGCACATTATTTGTCAAGGACTTTTGACATACGCGCTCTATTGGGCTGCAGCCATTTTAGAAACAGTAAGGCACGACGGCACGATACGACGGACGACGACACGACACGACGGCAATTCATCAGGAAGCGACAGCACCACGGCAGGACGCGACGGCAAGACGCGACGCCCGGACGGTACGACACATTGCATTAAACACAGCATAAAGGTAACGAGATAGGAGGTGACGCCACGACGCGACTCAACGACGCGACGGAGCTGTCGTAGCGTCGCGTCTTGGCGTCGGGACGACGCGACGCAATTTATGCAAAATTATTATGCAAATCAGCTTGGACCCGCTTTCGCACCGTTCGCGTCACCTAGCTAGTGCAAACTCGAATTCTAATATGAAATGCATGCATATGTCTGCACCCACGTGTCAGACGTCCAGTCACAAGCTTAGTATAGCAAAACCCGGCGTCAACTACCATATCATACATAATCCTGCTTAGATAAGAATCCAATGGGAAATACGATTTAATGGTATTTTCTGAAGAAAAAAAAATTGAACTTGAACAAAGCCAGAAAACCTAAGAGAAAATTATCATCGAGGTTGCGCCCCTGTACCTTTTCAATGGCCCGCTCACTTCTTCCTGCAATGCTATTTGTGCGCATGTGTGCATAATTATGAAATTGTTTGTGGAAAAGTCTATTGGCAACGCCCTAGTCTCGGGGCAAGACGGCAGAACACGACAGCGGACTCGATCGAGCAGGGAAAATATGCCGCGCGCGTCGATTTCTATTGCGCCCTCTCGTGGCTTCATTTCACTTATTGACGGCTCGATCTACAGTCTTGGGAATCTCCTACCAACTGTCTTTTTCTTTAGTTTCCATTCGGATTTCCGGAGGAGCCAATCAGTTGAAAATTCAGTTGAATCTTTTTGTGATAAAATATGGATCAATGACTTGCATCACACAACCTATCACGCGATATGATGTACAAGTGCAAGCGTTATTACGCGACGTTGAACCTACTGGTACTACAAGTACCAGTGCTGTCACCGTTGATAATGGCCGTGGTCGATGCATTGGAACGTCCAAGGGGTCAATTGTGAATATTCATATTACACTATTTTTGCATACAAAGGCCCGCCTCCGGTGTAGGAGATTCCCAAGATGGTAGAACCATAGAGGAAGGACACAGAGCGAGTTGCAACTCTGGCACTACAAAGTGTTCAATGATGGTCACCGCCGAGTCAGATAAATAATAGAAAACATTCCAAAAATGCCTGATCACTGCCTGCATTTTAGCCGGACAAGCGGGGACAGTAATATCCTAGCAATACAATGTACTTGTAGTTTTTCAGCTTCCAGAGACCCGCTTACCAGCCAGGGTAGTGGTGGCTGACACTAGGGCAGGCACGAAGATCACGTGATGGCTCAACGAAAACTCTCGTGTAAGTTTGATTTGCACAAGTGTTAGCTAATCGAACGCACCCATGGACGGTTATATGTATTGATCGCTGTTTGCATGGAACCATGGAACCGGAAGTTAATGCGCAACTTCAGCGATTGTTCAGTGGGAGCCTGCAAATTGTGGCGCGTCTGCCTTTGCGACAGAATCACTT